GGTGCTGCTGTCGCTCTGTGAAGGTTTGCTGGGGGAGTTCACACACGCGCAGTCCTCCTGTAGGTCCTGTGAGCCGGGTTGCCCTGTTTCTCTGCCCCTCTGCTCCTCCAGTGTTTTCTGGAAGAGTGAATGGACGCAGGGCTCTTCCGCAGCAGGGATACACACATGGGCTAAGCCGGTGGACAGACAGCCCTGCCTCCAGCGTGAAAGCAGGGCTTCCTATCCGAGGAGGGAGCAGCCAGCTGAGAGGCAGGTGGCTGACGTGTGCTCACATTTATTCTGACAGACCTCACAAATGCACACTCACGTGGATTAGCTATACTTTTCATGCATCATTTTCAGATAATTACAGTAAATTATTAATTCTTCATGGTATTGTAAGGGTGGGATCTGTTGAGCTGGTAAAGAACATCGATGTCTCAAACTTTATGTAAGCCATATACTTTATTTATTTATTATTTCTTTTCGGTTTTTTAAGACAGGGTCTTACTATGTAGTTCAGGGTGGCCTCGAACTCATGGTGATCCTCTTGCCTCAGCCTCCTGAGTGCTGGGATCACAGGCGCATGCCACCATGCCCAGCATAAGTCATGTTTTTAATCATTTCCTTTTGCTAAACTTTCCCTCTGACGTATTAATAGCAAAATTACTTAGGTTGTGTTTCCTCTTCCGACGTCCAGAATAGATAACTAAAAGTGTCCATGGGAGAAAGACCTGATGTTAAACAAATGAACAGCAGCAAATAAAGCAGACAGAATCAAGGGCTGACTTCCTGTGCATTATGTTTGCATGTGGATTGCTGTTTCATAGAGTGACATTCTGAGGCCATGGGGCTGCAGTGTACACGTGAGTACACTCAGCTGTAGACACTAACAGGCTTTTTACATGGCTTACAGGAAGGTGCACAGTTGTAGAAATTGAACACGTGTGTGTTTCACTTGACTCCATTACAGTGCGGTGTCATCCTCTGCCCTGGCAGGTGGAGCTGTTGTGGCGCCCAGCGCATTGCAGGTGCCCATGGGTGCCGGGTGTGATCCCCACCGCTGTTCCAGGGAAGTCAGCTGTTGTGGGGATCGCTGTGCTGACTGTAGTCTTCTTTGCTGATCCTGCTCCACGTAACCCAGCACCTCAGTGCGGGGGAGCAGAGCATGTTGTCCTCAGATTCATCTATTCCTGTTTCTCAGTCACTTATTCATTCCCTAACCCCTGCCCATCTTTTCACTTTTTCCTCTAATTAGAGCTGACTTTTCCCTGTGTTTGCTTACAACATATTTCTAGTTATTTAAGGTCCATTTAAATATTATAGTTTCTGAGGGACTGATCCCTCAAAACATAACAGCATCTCGTTCTTACTGAAACAACAGTTAAGTAGTTGCTCTCAAGGTGCAGGTCCAGATATTTCTGTGTGAAACTTCACACTGTGCTCAGCAAGGGCTAGAAAGATGCGGAGACCTCTGTCTTTGCCCCAGAAGAGCATCTGATACAGTAGGAGGGAAGTAGAGGCATGGAGAAGGTGTCGTGAACTGCACAAATCTGTGTACTGTGTCTCTTTCAAAAGAATGAGCTAAAGTAAAAACACAACAGCCAGAAACTGCTGCTTCATCTAACAGGCCACAAGGCAGGCAGCGTGGTTCCGTAGAAAGGAAGTTCTAGTGGGAAGGAGGGGCTTGGCGCCAAGCACCACCGAGCAGCTCTCTTTGCTTTTCTTCTCCCATTTGTAGATGCTATGGTAGAGTGTATGTGTTTGCTTCCTCTTCATGAGGGATGTGCGCTGTCTTTTGTTTTTAGTAACTCTTAAGTGATTAATATCCAATTTTTAGTTACTAAGGAATATAATATTAATTTGTAAACCGTAAACATTTGCATGGTGACTTCAGGTGGTCTTAAATAAGGTTAAGTGATGCGGTCACTCACATATTTGTATTCACAGCTCTTTGACACAGGCCAAATACTGAAAAATTTTAGGTTGTGTATTCTCAGTTTTTAAGATCAACTTGTGTGAATATTGTGAGGGGAGGAAGGGAACCCAACAGCACTGCCTGTGCCTCATCTGATCGGCTGGTCTTAGAGGCTGTCAGCAGCATCGAAAGGTGGTCTTCAGTGTTTTACTTGGGAAACAGAGTCGGTCGGTGGCTTTGCATCTGAAGATTTTAATTCTCTTCCATTGAAACAGCTTTATTGGTCTCCAGTCAGTGTTTAGACTATTAGGAAATTATCAGTCCAAATGCATCTGGCTGATTTGTCTCAGTGTTTCTAAATTGGAAGTGAGAAGCTGCTAATTAACTAAATTTTAACCTAGCATATCTGAACACTTCAAAAATGTAATGTGTAATACATACACTAATGCCCTTTGAGATAATTTTTTAAAGATATTTTAGCTGTGCTGAATTGAAAGAAAACACTATTGTCAGTGTGGTTCATAAGTTATGCTTGTGTGTCATATGATGTTGTGGTTTCATTTATAAATGCAAGTAAGGGCACCTGTGAGACCTGATGCAGCACGTTACAGAATCAGAGGTGAGCGTCATCTCTTTGTAAAGCTTTTTCTTCTGTTCAGGGGGAGCCAGCATGTGCACTGTCCAAAGCCCAAGGATGTGACAGATAACAGAAGTGTGATGTTGGGAGGTCCTCGGGAGAGAAGGGAGCTGGCAGCATATTGTTTGGGAGTTTACTCGTTGCCTTAAATGAGTAGCATACTTAGGTTCTGTTAAACTTGGAGGCTTAGTTTTGTGTTTACCTGGTGGCCTTAGACTTTTAGCCCTTCCCAGCCACACACCATACATTGTCAGAAGAGCTGGGCAGGAGCTACCTGAGGAACATGTGGATTCGTGGGATTTACTGCTTTCCCTGATGCGTGCTGCTTAAAGTACAGTCATCCGCTCCTTTTGTTGAATACTGTCTTATTTTCATTCCTGTGTAATTTACCTGCATGGAGATTAAGAAATCTCCTTTTATTAAATAAGCTTGAAAACAAGAAGCGTGCCCTGAGTCTTGGGTAGAGAATATTGGATAGCTCCTTTTCTAATAAACATTAAAAAATCTGCTTGACAAAAACTAGAAAATGTATTCTCTCCTGTATGGAGAGCAATATAGAACCAAAGTATTCCTCCTTAATTTTGGTCTGAACGAACAAAAGTGTCTGTGTTTATTCCTGCCTAATGCATCACAAAGCTGCTGACATACTAACCTTGGAGTCTTGGCTGGCGTTAATCAGGCCTGCGCACCGGCAGGAAAGATGCACCTAATGCACTCCATCAGTGCAGTTTGCATATGGAAGTTCTCACAGGGGAGCTGCCCTGTGCCAGCTGAGGGTTACCTGCCCACTGCAGTTATTGTATGTAATTATCGAACCAATCTGTTCAGCCCAGCAGGATTTAGATGGTAATCATGAAGCAACACTTTGGAAAAGAAAGATGTAAGGCATTCTCCCCTTCTCTCATCGGTTACGTGAAGTTATAGCCACTCTTCAGCTATTTTTGAGAAGCAGTACCCCCAAATACAAATCGGCCAAATGAATGCCTTTTGGTTTCTTCAAGTTGAGTCAGGTTGTTGTTTTGATTTATGTGAAGCGTTTTCTCTGGGAACATGGTGGGTATTTCTGAGTTCTGCCATCTTAAGCATGTTTTCAAACAGTGGGATTAAGTGTGATGCACTGGTAGCAACGATGCTGACCATTTGGGGGCTTCGAAGAGGGTTCAGCTTTCACATGTAGCCCTCAGTGGAACAGTTGTCATTAGGAGAAAGAACAACATGCTGTCCGCAGGTATTATCTTCCTAGCTGTACACAAAATGGCCTGCAGCAAGGAACACTCTCAGATGAAGTTCTACTTAGTATTAATTGTTAGATAATATAAATGAGGGTTTCTGTTGTATTGTGAATCTGATTGGGGGCCTATCAGATGGTTTTTTTGGGTTTTTTTTGTACCGGGGATCGAACTTGGGACCTTGTGGTTTCAAGGCAGGCAGCGGAACCACTGAGCTAAATCCCTGGCAATCAGATGGTTTCTTAAATGGTACAAACTTAGGTAACGTAGAGAAACTTTGAGTTAAAACTTGGATTTTTACACATTTAAATTTGAAATTACATAGGATAAAGTTATATAAAAATTTGATAGTTTTATATTTGTTACTAATGTCCCATTATAATTATACCTATATACCTATATAGAAAGATGTTAAGTGATTTCAAAACTTGGACTGGCCTAGTTTGAAGATTTTGTTTTGTTTTGTTTTTCAGTTTTCAGACTGATTCTCACTAAGTTGCCCCGGCTGGGCTTAAACTTGTGATTCTCCTGTCTCAGCCTCCCACAGTGCTGAGACCACAGTTTTATGCTACCATGCGTGGCATTTGGAAGATGTTGTAGTAGTGGACATAATATAAGAAAACTGAATGAATGTTTAGAAGAATGGAAGGCAACAAAAAATAAGCATTAACTCCCGAGTAACACCCAGATAGGAGAATAATAGAAGAAAAGGGCTGAGAAGGTGGTGGAGAGCCCCAATAGTTTTTGATATGAAGGAGTTTTGTCCTTCTAAGGCCATGCATTTACAGTAAAGGATGTGGCCCTCTTATTTGAAAACTTATAATAGAAGATACTTTAAGAGGTAATTATGAGAAATTAGCCATTATTGCTCCATAAATCTCAAAGTTCTCCTTGGCCTGAGTGCGTGATGAGAGCAGGTTGGTAAAACATCCCGCCTTGAAGGATTTCTCTGTGGTCGGTGCTTATGGGGAAAGCATAGCTCTCAGGAATGAACTCCGTAAAGGTGACTGCTCAGCGGCAGTGTGATGCATGCACCTGCGTCCGGACCAGCTCTGCTGCTGAACATCGTCTTGCTCCCATTCCTTTCCTTAGACGACCACTGTGCTGAAGTTAAGAATAGTCTTCCCCACTTCCATGTACTCATTAGGTACATTTATGGTATTTTCTGTGGCATTTATGGTATTTACTTATTTGACCACCAGACTACATCTCTTTCTTATAAATTTTTATGTATTAGAAGAGAAAGAAAGACGTGGAAGAAAGCACAGAATGTAGTGTTGAAGGTCTGGAATGCTCACGTTCTCAGGTGGAGGAGGTCCCACAAAAACGTAAGTTGAACAGTTTTGCTTACCTTTTCTGTACTGGGGACAAACTGCATTTCCTCCCACTGGATGAGGGGCTAACTAGTGGGTTGTTTTTATAAAATATATGAGTAGATCTTGTATTTGTGTAGTATATATCCTAGTGTCTTCTGTACATTTGTGTTGTGTGCTTTCCAAGCTATTCATCAAGTCAGGACCAGGGAAGTAGATTTGGAGCCTGAGACACAGAGGGTTTGAACGATGAAGTTGGGAGGGTGAGATGTAGAGACCAGAGCGCTTACCTCTCAGGCCAATAACTTCCGCTCCCTCAAACCTATCCTTATAGCTCTGCGAATGCTAATGAAGGTCAAGAGTCAGACAGTCATTAGCTGGGCTTATTATAACTATAAACTTCCAATTGCCTGAGTTACCTGCTTATCCACCATAAAGTCTGCCAACTCTCAGAGACAAGGAGTTAAAACTTCACATCATCCATCGCTTTTCAAAGCACTTGACACATAAAGCAAGGTCTGAAGTCATGTCTTAGATGGCTTATAAGCCAGTGCTACAGGCACTTCAGTAGTGGAGTAGTTCCGGAAATGCTATTAGCAAAGGCAACATCTGCAGAGGGCAAAACTAGGCTGGACCTGGGTCTAGTGTGTTGAAATAGCTGCACAGTGTGCTTTGGGTTTCGTAAGGGTTGCTTTACTTAGGAGAGATTGATTTCTGGCCATAATACCTTTTTTTTGGTACTGGGTATCGAACTCAGGACCTCGTGTTTGCCAGGCAGGCGCTGTGCTGAAATACTTCTTGATTTCTAATGAAAAGGCTTGTTTTTGGTAAAAATGTCGTGATAGCATAAATACCCCATTGCGTGAGGCACATGATGTATTTTACCTTCTTTTTGACAGTGGTGCTCATGCATGTGAATGGAAAGCAGAGTATGCAGTGCTAAGAGAATCACCTTCACCCTGCTTTATTAACGTTTTCTTCATCATATATTATGGCTAGAACACTGTTCGGGTTAACTGCATTCACCCAACGAGTCCTTAAGATACCCGAAGAGGGTGTGGGTGATTTCACTCTGGGAGGCTAAAGGTTTTGAAGTTGTCCCTCTCTCTTATCTTCCACATCTTCTTTGCGCTGTGCTTTGTTGTGTTGTGCCAGCGCCCCGTCTTGTTCACTTTGTTTTCAGGAAGTAGGGAGTCCCATCCAGGCCTGTCCCAGCTGGGGCTGCAGCAGCAGTGACAGTGAATGGGAATGAAATTAAGGAACATTTACACAGATAGAGTAATAGTCTTATGTTTTACAAGATCTCTTCAATTTTAAACCTGGCAGTTTCAGTTTAGCCAAAAGCCGTGTTCTGTTGTAGTGAGGCTGCGCCTGCTAAGGGGAGTGCAGTGGCGCCTGTGTGGGGAGGGCTCAGGCCCGGGCTCAGGCTGCCTGCGGGTCTTGGGCTCCTGAACTTTGCCTAATGAGCACCGCAGGTCCTTGTCTGGGCAGATAAGCTCCTCAGACTGGTGGTTTTTCCTATGGGAAAATATATTAATATTTCTGTTATTTTAGGGATTAGAAAAGAGTGGGCTCAACATTTTAAGGAGGACAATTCAGATTTTTGATACAACTTTTTAAGATGATAAAGAGTAATCAGATTCTCCTTCATTCTTATAAACTCTGAATTTCTTTAATTAAATGTATATTTTCTCTTTGTAATTCATTTTCTCCTTAATTTACTATTGGAATATTCATAAAAAAGAAATACTGCCTGAGAAGGTAAAATGTTACCGCTTCTAGGGAAAAAAAGGAATGAAAAAAAACAAGGGTTCATGTTAAAAAAAAAAAAAATATATATATATGTATATTTTCATCAGTTTAAAGTAACTTGAAGGAGAAGTATATTATTATCTTTGAATTTTTTAATTTTTAAGAAATATACACTTCAGTGAATTTCTGTTTTAGGGTTTTAGGTTTTGTGTCATAAATGTGTTTCAAGACTAGTTACCTCTAACTGCAGCTTTAGAGATGTCAGTTTCTTCATTAACAATTTTATTTTCAAACACAATTTAGGGTTTACAATATGGTAAGAGATTTTTCTCACTGTGTGATCTTTCAGAGTGCTGTACCTAGCAAAATGGGAGCAACTTTCCTTTAATATCTATTTAGACCATTTTAAAAGCGTGTATAATTTTCTTGATACACCTAAACTCATTTTGAATAGCTGGGGGTCTATTATGTAAGAACACATTCTGAAAGCTTTCCGCGTGGGTATTGTGTGGGTTTTCTCAGAAAAAGAGAGGGGGGGACAGGGTGGTTTCAAGAAGAACAGAGGCCTCTAATCCTTTTATTTTTATGCAAGGCATAATTTTTACCAATTGAGAAAATTTGGTTATTTGCCGCAAGTAATTTTTCCTCTCACACAAAATGATAAGCCTTAAAAAACCATGCATAGTCTGGCATTTCAAAACCATGCCAGTATTTCAGAATTGTACTAAAAATTAGTTAATGTAGCCATGATATTTATGGCTAGTACACTTGTCCCTCCAAATGGAGACCCCTCTTGTCTCTTGTTCTTACTTAAAGGGTTGCAGTCCCGTAGTATCATAGGTTTTGGGGCATTCCTGGGGATTCTTTGGGGGAAGCATGACTGATTAGGAAATAGATATTTTTAAGGGCACCCTAGAAAGAAATTTTCCATTGTTTTTTACCTTCTGCATTATAAAATTGAACAGCCCAAAGTTATATATGTTATTTTTCAGATATAAAGTTTTATACCTTACTCTTAGGAGTGGACCCAAGGACATTATGAAAGTGGTTATATTTTAAATCAAAGAGATAAAATAGTTTTTTCTGCAACAATAGGGAAAATATTGAATTGATACATGGAGCAATCTCTAAAGCACTTAGAAGTGATTATATGATAAATTCCAGGCGGTGATAGCATTCATTTCGAGTCGCAGTGAGAAACTTGAAGTCTAGATTAAAGGGGATAAGCCGCGGAATTTAAGAGCAAAATGTCGAAGACCGTTTATGAGGATGGTGCCGCTTGAACACAGCCATAGCGCTGCTTCAGTGTCCTCAGTAGTGTGCTTGTGGACCCGTAATCGACTGAAAGGAGATGCTGTAGTATTGGTTATTGACTTTGATTCTGTGATATTCCTAATGCCAAGCGCAGAGTTATTTTCAAAATTTTGGAAATAAAACCCTAAAAATCTACCATAGTGTATTTTTAATAGAGTGCTTTATCACTACAATTGAAAAACAAATTGTTAAGTGAACCATACCGTGTATTATGAATGGCAACAAAGAACATATAAGTTCCAAGGTTGCTATAATTGAACTGTATGGAAATTGGTTAGAAACTATATCTTGGAAAAATAAAAGAATGTTAATTTTTAAGTAACTAAGCCCATAAGCAGAAAACCTTTAGAACTGTTCATTACATGTGTGCAATAGAAATTTTGTCCCAATTCAAAGAATGTTTTGTCCTTTTTGGGAAGTGCTGACTGATATCTTGCTGTCCAGTGCCTTTGTGGAGTAGGAGCGGCCAGGCTGCCCTCACTCTGACGCCCCTTCTCTGCCTGGCAGAGAGGACTTCGGGGCGTGGAAGGAACCACACCTTGTGTGCCGGCACTGGGCCACCTGCTCACGCGGTGCAGAGCTGGAGGTGGAGTGGGGTGAGACCTGAAGGTCCCGTCCATGGGGCAGAGGGTGTGTGTGTGTGATGAGTTTATTCCAACCCTGGCCCACTCAGTGAGGGGCGGTCACAGGAGGTACAAACTGGGACCTGAGGGGATGCCTTTTTGGGAGGCTGCTTCACTGGGATCTGCCGGATTCCTAGTGGGAAGGACTTGGCATTTTAGCGTGGAGCCCAGTGCTCTCCTCCGTTAAAAAGCATAGATGATAGGCTTTAAGAAGCAACTCATTTAAAATAAAATTCCTTGCTCTTCATACGACACATAACCTCATTGCTTTTCCCCAAGGGGTCCTTGCTTGCTGCAGTTTATGTTGGGAGTTAATGTTTTAAACTTTACAGTAAAAATGTAGGGGGGAAATATTTCAGTACCAGCATAAACTGGATATTTTGTTTTGTTTTGTTTTGTTTTTTAACCAGTGGAAGAGGCCTTACATGGTTAAGACTAGAAGGTAGACTTGGTTAGCATATTGTTATATATTAAAAAATAGACAATTTCCTGAGATTTTTCAGGGTATTAGCAGCTCTGCCTTCTGTGCAGATTTCATTTCCACAAACCAGAAGTCATGTACATTTTATTAATAATTGTGTGTAGAACATTCATATTTCTATTCTTTTGCTTTTGTAAATTAATGATTATTGACATTGCTTTGATTTTTTTGTTTTGTTTTGTTTAGGTTTAAGAACCAGAAAGAGAAACCAGAAGTAAATCACCTGCTCAGAACCAACTTTTCTTCCTTTTCATTTGCCTTTTTCTCCTTTTGTGTTTTGTTTTATTTTCATGTGTGTCTTGTGGGGTGGGAATAATAATTAAAACCTTTGTCTTTGAAAAACAAAATTTTTTTTATTAAATGAATACTTTGTACAATTCATAGAGGCTAATTTATGAGTTTCAAAAACCTTCAGGTTGTACTTGTTAGCTACCATACTTGAGTTGTTTTGTTTTGTTTGCTACCATACATGAGTTTTGATGTACATATGGAAAAAATTACTGTGGCATCCACTTTCCTAATCATTGTGCACTTCCCAGAGTGGATAAAAATGTTTGACAAAGTCTTCCCTTTTAAGGAAATGAAAAACTTAAAATAAAGGCCATTTTCCCTTGATGCAGATGACAATTTGTTGTGGTGATAAGGTTTGGCTTGTGTTGTTTGTTCTTCCCCACGAGTGTTTACTGAGTTCCTGCTGTGTGAGACAGGGGCACGAAGAGCAAGACTGGGAAAGCTCAGGTGGGGAAGTGCAGTGTGTGACAGAAACATGCGCTCCGAGGTTGGGTCGCAGGGTTAGGGATGTTTGCAAGTGGTGTGGCAGGAAAACGGGTTTTGGCAGATTAGTAAGTGGTGGCACCGATTGTGTAAAGCCTGGCTTCCTTAAGGAGTCCTGTGAGCTGGGTACACATAGCCTGTTGTTCCTTCGTAAATTATTTTGCTTACAAGTTTCATTTTTGTAGCAAATGATACCTGTACACTAAACCAAACATAGTAGAGGGATTAGAAAGTTAAAAGTGCAGTTTTTTTGCTTGTCTTTGGAACAAACCTCAGAATTTTAACATATTTACGAACAATGTCAAGAAGTATTCCTCACAGTTTCTTCTGTCAGGGAAATTGGAAGTGAATATATTTCCTGTGGGTAGAACAGTTCAGCCCTGGAGTATGCACACTGTGTTTAGGTGGTGCATGGGCCTAGTCTTTCTTAAACATTTAAGTATCTTATTTTTTTATTGAGTTTATTGGTACATTTTAGGTATACTACACAGTTAAACTCATCATTGGGATCTTGTACCTTTACATGAGTATCTTGGTTCGTATTTTTTCCCCTTCCATCGCTTCTCGGCCTTTTGGCTAAGATCAAGTGTATTTTTTCCCCTTCCCCTGCCCTCCCTTCAACCCCCCCTTCCTTATTTACAAAGACTTTGTTTCCATTTTTTCCTTTTCTCCTAATGTTTCCTTTCCGTTCTTTCCTTTCCCCTACCCCTTTGGTCCTTTTCTTCCTATTTCAATTATCAGTTATACATTTCAATCCTTATTTACACTTTCAGTTTCTCACACTAGAGAAACTCTTCGGTATTTACACATGTGTGTCCTGTTTATTTCACTTAAGAGGATGGCCTCAATATGCATCCATTTAGCTATAAATATCTCTAGTTTCTCGTTCTTTATGGCTGAATAGCACTCCATTTTATAAAAAAACCACATCTTTATCCAGTTTCCAGTTGATGGGCACTTGGGCTGTTTCTAAGCTTTCACTATGACGAACTGTGCCTTTATAAACATGGGTGCACATATATTGCTGTGGTATGATGCTTTTAATTCTTTTTGGAAGATCCCCAGCAGGGGAATAGCTGGGTCAAATGGGACCTCTAGTCCTAGTTCTTTGAGGTATCTCCATACTGATTTCCAGAGTGGTTGCACCAGTCTACACTCCCACCAGCAATGGAGCAGGGTTCCTCTTTCCCCACACCCCCGCCAGCATTTGTTATTGGTTGATTTCATGATAGCAGCCATTCTTTCTGGGGTGAGGTGGAATCTCAGTGTTGTTTTCATCTGCATCTCTCGAATGACCAGTGATGTTGAATATTTTTTCATATGTTTATTTGCTGCTTTTATAACTTTTAATGTGTACTCAAAATATCACTAGCACATTGTTTCTTGTTTAGGTCAAGCCTAAGTTAGGTATTTCAGTTTTTAGAGAGTGAATTGATTTGAAGAAAATACTAAGTCCCTAATTATACAGGCGGGATGTGGACATATCAGACATTGTTGCGGTTGTGCCAGGTTTGAGAAAGGAAACCAACGTAGACTGTAACTTTGGCTCTTGATGTGGACAGCTAGTTGTCAGGCAGAGTACACCACAATGGTCAGGGAGTAAGAGGTGACGGATTTGCAGGTTTCCTTTTGCAGGTGAATCATTTCATACCAGCTGGCGTTCTAGAGTTCTGCGTCTTTATACACTAAAGAGCTAGGTTTTGGGCAGAGAGAGAGAGAGACTTTCTGTCGAATGCTGGAGTCAGTGCTCATCAGTGTTATGGTCCTGAGTCTGTTTGTAACACCTAATCAGCTCTCAAGTTCTGTTTTAAACACATTGTGCTTAAAATAGGATAAAATGTGCGTGATAGTTTTTGTATATATGCCTTAGCCTTTTTTATTTTTCAAAACACAAAAAACATAGCAAAACCTGTTGGTTAAATATTAAGAAAAAATACTTCCTCACATATTGTTTTAAACAAGTGCTGACATTTTCTTGAATGTCACTGTATTGGCAGGGCTACAGAAATTAATGCAAAAGTACTAGCCATAGTAGCCAGTTTGGTTTATTAGCAGTGTCCCTCGTTCGGCTATGCTTCTTATTCTTTACCTTGCACCGGTTTTTCTTACCTGTTACTCTAAGACGTGGTTGAACAACCTCCTTAAAGGTGGAGCTGTTTTTCCTCCCCTTTCCAGTTCTGATTCTATCTTGCCTTGGTTTTGTTTTCTTCCAGTCCCTGAGTGGAGTGGATTTGCCATCTTTCCTCCCTCTCCTCCATCCACTCCCGCATGTTCTTAGCACCATGTTGTCCTGTCTGCCACGTCGTGTTCCTGGGCCCTTAGTGAGTTGAGGTGTTCTCGGCTGTTGAGGTTTGTCAGCTGGGCCAGCTCTTTTCTTTCAGCAGCGAATCAGTCTTTGGTGACCAACTGAGAAGTAAAATAGCTTCTAGGTGTTCTTCAGCGGTCACTCCCTAAGACAAAACACAGATAGGATAGTGTTGTAAAACCTGGATTATTTCTTTGAATCACTAAATTAAATGTGCCTGTGAAGAACCAAGTTGCATAGCAATAAATTAGTGGTGGAAGAATACTTTATTTATTTGTGTGTCTCTGTGTTTACACCACTGAGTATTAGATTCTTGTTTATTCTTTAAATTCAGTTTTAATATACCACATTCTTCTGATTATCAAGATGACTTAATAAATATGGTCTGTTCAAAATTTCAAATATATATAGAGAAGTATCAAAAGGCAAACCAGCTATAATTCTACCAACCCACAGAAAACCACTGCTAATATTTTGACGTATTTTCTTCCAATTTTTCTTCACTTTTATCTTTTTAAATATTACCTAAAACTTTATGTTCTGCTTTTTAAAGCATATATTGTATACATTTCATGTTACTACAGCTAATTCATGAATACAATTTTCATGTTTCAGTGATATTTTTTTCTTAGGGATTTATGATATTTTCCTATATTTTGGCTGTTTCCCTTACATTGGACATTTAAGCATTTAAGTTATTTTCAATATGGAATATAAGCGTGTTAACAAAAAAACAGGGTTTTTTTGAGATAAGAGTCTCACTGTGTAGTCCAAGATGGCCTTGATTTGGATTCTCCTGAATCAGCCTCTCAAGTGCTGGAATTACAGGCATGTGCCACCGTGCCTGGCTAAACTTTTTTTTTTTTTTTTTTAACAAAACTGGTCAGAAATCTTTGTCAGTATGTATGAATATTAGATTTTGAAAAGTGAACCACTGTGTCAGGGACTAAACTGATGCCTGTTGTAAAATTATTTTGCAAAAGACTATCAGTCAACACCCTGCCCAGTCAATTGGAGTGACCAGTTTACTCTTTGTCACTCTTGGGTGCTGTGGACCAAGTGTGTGTGTTCCCGGTCCGACTGGTGTGTGGAGGCCCGATGCTCGGTGTGATGGCATTGGGGTTAGGGCCTCTGTAAGAAGTGATAGGAGACAGGTGGTTTCTCTCCCCAACAAGTGCCATCTACAAACCAGCAAAGGGACCTCCACAGTAGACTCTGCCTGTCCTTTGACTTTGGACTTTCCAGCCACCAAAACTGAAAAATAAGTGTTTGTTGTTTAAATCACCCAGTCTGTGGTATTTTTGTCATTTAAGACATTAAATATTATTTTTATTAAGGTTAAGTTTTGATTGATTGATAGTGAACCCAAACAGTTCCTTATTTGTAAACTGGCCATTCTGTTTTCTTTGGTATGCTTGGATGCATTGTTTATGTAATAATGATTATCACTTTTTGACCTGTGTTTTGCTGACTTCTTACTGTTTAGTTTTTATTGGCTATATTTTAAACTTTTATAAAGATTAGCTTTTATGACTTTAATCTGTTGATCTTTTCATTATGATTTCTGCCACTGTTTTAAAATGTTTTCTATCCAGAAATCATAACATTACTTTCTCTAGCCTTTTTGCTTTAGTGATTTTAAGTTTGCAATACTCATGGAATTTATTTTGGTGTGTCTGTGCTGTGAGGTCAGCATCACAGGGGTGTTTTCTCCAACTGTTAACCAGTACTCCAGTACCATTTGTTCAATGAATTAACTCTCCCACCCCTGCTGCACCCCGGTTTGTGGTATCTGCTTTATTCATTCCTTTATCAGGGTTTGTTTCTGTACGTTTTCAATTTCATTCATCTGTCAGTCCCTTCTTAGGCCAGCATAGTAACTTAATGCCATTTACTTCTTAATTCTTATTTACTGTCCATTATCAGAAATCAGATGAAAGAAAAATTTCACTCATGATTCCTCCGCACTACCAAAATCAAACTTTGGCCTTTGGCTAAGTTATCCCTAGTCCTGTTTCATGCCTACGTAATTTTTCATAGTTACAGTGGTTGTGTGGGTAAAACCTTGTAGTTCTTTTATAAAAGATCTGTACGTTATTCTGTAAGCCCCTCATTGTGTTCTACTGATACAAAACCTACGCGGCCTGCTAGAGCGCTTCACGGGGACTGCATAGCAGCAGAGCCTGATGGGCTGCATTAGTAATCCTCTGCAGGATACTCTTGACTGGATGGTTTAGACCACTGTCTCTGTCACGTTCTTCTCAGACAAGTAAAGTGTTTACCATTTCCACCATACTAAAAATGTGCTTGTAACTGGGAGTAATCTCTTATTGTGGCAGTAGCGTTTTGCAGTTACTGCATAAGCTTCCTGAACTTTTGTAGTTCCGCTCATCATGAGGTTACTTACAAAACTTATACTTGAGAGATTCAGTTTCATTGTGAGCCTCTGCAGATGGTTTTCAAGAGAACTCCTCTCTTTAACTTGGGTTACGTCTGGAATATATTAGAATGTTGTTCTGCAGTATCAGAATATGAGCGAAGATGATTT